TTCCTAAGAATGGGTACTTGATCCCCAAAAGCTTGTCCAGAAGCTCTCCCAATTATACAGTTGGTGTAATAAAAGATTTCACAAAAAGAAACAATAAAAAAAAAATCCTGGTCTCTTGCACATTTCCTGGACCATCACAGCTACCACAACCTCCAAGACACTAATTAGCATAACCCATCCCACACTAACATTGCACTGTCTCACTTCCACAGCCCTGAGCTGATGGTTTGTCAGTGCCAGACACTGGTTGCTGGACTTGGAATTCACATTATTTTTTGGGGGTGGTGGTGAGTGGGTTGTGTATGCAGGGTAACTGGGTTAGCCACCAAGAAAGCAACACATGCCTATCCTTATTGGTTGCCTATTTCCAATGTCTTGAACCTGCCTCTTGCCCATCAGTGAGTAATGTCCCCATCAATGCTATTCTGCCAGTCACCCAGGTCTCCCACTCATGCCCATCTCCAGCTGTATTAGCCTACCAGTTTGCCCTGTCATACAGCTCATAACGTGGCCCGTATCACCCCACATATTGCCATCAGCCAGCTAACCAGCTACCTCTAGCAGCCCTGTTAGCTTGCCCAGAAGCCTTGTGAGCCCTTACTCTGCCTGCAGATGCTCTCCTGCAGTGAGAGAAGTGCCAATCAAATACTTTCCCTGGGATGTAAAGCAGGCAGCTGCTCTATGCTGCTACCAGATTGTTTATTCTAGATGCTAATCCACTCTTGCTGCATTTCATAGTAAAATTAGTCACCTGACTAGAGTCTTACTTCTTACCAGCAATTCAAGCCGCTGCTGTTTTCTCTGGGTGTATTTTGATAACACCAATAAGGTGTTCAGAAAAAACTGAAAACCATACATCTCTCATTTTTGGGAGGTTCACGCAGCCTCTTAGGTTTACAAAAGTGGTGTAAAGCACTCCAGAGCTATCCCTCTGCCCTCCCAGCCTGCTGCTGCAGCAGGACAGGAAGGAGTACACATCGACAGGAAGGAGTACACATCCTGGAGTACTTCCTTACAGCTCTGTTTCTGGGACTGGGATAAGGGAATGCCAGATATTTCAAAATGAGATGCGCAGTGGAAAAGAGTACACACGCAATAGAGGTACACGGTAAGCACAAGTTGCTACTGCTGCTCTTGACTCCGTGTCTCACATTGCTGCAATTCAAGAGGTGCTGCTGCAAGGAAGCTCACTGTCATAGCTGGCAAGCCCTGTAAAATAATGCATTGTTACAGAGATGGTACTAATGGTCCCCCAGGAGTCCCTGATGGTACCACTCTATAGCATTACTGTTCTGTCTCTTTATCTGTCTTGCCTTCTCATTATGTAGGTCAGAAAGAGGAAGTGCAGCTGAGCCACAGCTCTCGAAAGCAGAAGTAAGAAAGCGGAGCCTTCTACCTCCAGACTGCCAGCCTCCCTTTGTTCCAGCCCAGTTCTGAGGAAATCATTCACCCTTCTAACCTAGTATGCCCCATCATTCCTTCCTCCTTGCTTTGCCTCTCACTCTCTGTTGTAGACCATCGTAGGCCTTAAGCTGTTTTAATGATAGTTCAGTACAGAGTTACCTGTGTCTGCTTAAACTATAGTTTGGCTAAAAAGAGAAAGGGCAAAGGATATGCTCAGGTGAGAGAAAGCTGCAAGGTGTGAACCATTTTAGGAAGCTTGAGTAAAATGGAGGGAATGAAAACTAGGGTAAAGATTACAAGGTCACCTTGAGTACACTTAGTGGTCTGATGATAGACAAGGCTAATTTTAGATAAAATAATGCTTATAGAAAGAATAAGAATAGGAATACAGATATTAATGAGTAGTGCCTATTAGGAATGCTTTTATCCCTTTAAATTATTTAGTAAGGTTTTTTTTTTAATATTTTAGCCAAGCCGCAGAGTATAAATAATGGGTCCACTTTGGTGTTTTTCCTTTTCACTCTTGAACTATGGTTCTTGCTGAACTGCCCACTTGCCTGGTTAGTGCTATTTAGAGACTTAGTTTTGAAACCTAGGTAAGAAGGTCCCTTCCCTAAAAGGACAGCCACCTGTTAGAGGCTTTTTAAGACTTCAGGACTTAGAAATGTTAAGATTAATATGTTTTCAAATACCAGTAAGATTGTTATGCCTTGAGATAAATGTGCTTTTTAAATTTTAATCATGTGCTTGATATGCTTCACCTGTGCCTTTTGGTCATCTATATCTTTTCTACCTTTTGTTATTGAATTTGCTATTAAACATTTAGATATTCTTATGTTGTGAGTCTTTAATTTGGTGGGATTGCCACTTTGACCCTTTCTTGGTTCTCAGAACCCATATGAGGGTCAACAGTGTGCACCAGCTTACCCTTAGAGAATCCAACTTCTCTCCTACTTTAACATCTTCTGTCTACCACCTTTGTCCCTCTCCAGTTTGTTTAATGCAAGATCAGGTCTAAAAAGAACAAGCATAGGACTTAGTTACAGAAGAATCCAGACCTGCCTGGGACGCATTATGGGTGTACCTGTGTAGTGGCAGCTAGATGCTGTTCTCAATTCTGCCATTTTCTCACTTACAACCATTTATTCAGCCTATCTGTTAAAAAGGTATATTAATTTTCACTTGCCTTTGTAGACCTGCTTTGAGATACATGGATATTGCAAGCTATGTAGGTTCAAAATATCAATGTGATAGAAAAGATACTGTTCGCTCACCTGATTTGTCTATGGCTCAACTTGCAGCTCTTTCCTGAAGCTGCCCATGGATTGTCTGATAAATAAATGGCAATAGCTGAGATTCGTTCTGCGATGTTTCTTTCTACAATGGGATATCTACCTCTTTGCTGTGAGCATTATTTTTTTAACAAGCTCCACTTGAACATTCAGTGACTAGGCTGTGAAATCTTAGCACTTACCATGCTCTGATAGGTCCAGTATAAGTAAAAACCCTTTGGGTCCACCCGGAGAATCACAGGAGATGCACTTGTAGTTTCCTGGCAAAACCAGAAGAAAGAAAGTTAGGTTTCCATGACTCAGAGAACACATCATGGGATGTAGTGTTCCCCATTCAAATGCCACCCAGGCCTAGTGAATCATTTCCTGGCTATTCTGTGGTTTATGTAAATCAGATGGATGATTCAATTCATCTCCAGTGGCTCAGAGTTAGGGGCTGTGAAGGTCAATCTGTATGGATTTGTTCAGTGTGGTGGGGAAGAGCCCCTCAAGATCAAAGCTGAAGCACATTGACAGGGCTGTGAAGGAAGTATGGGTTGCCATTATGACCTGTATCACTTCTAAGGCACTTAAATCCCCAGGTTTGGCATCTTGCATGGGGACTACACACTGTGGATCCTGACAGATGTGGAACACCCCCCCCCCAATCCCACTCTACCGAAAGCAGCAGTGTATTACAAACCCTGCAGAGCTGCGTCAGTGTATAGACTGGGCACTTCAGCAGGGCTCTTTGGCACTTTTAGCTAAAGCTGATTCAATCAGCTATTAAATAAAAGTACCAGGAAAGCCCTACTAATGCACCCAATCTTTACAGATGCTGGGGAAGCCAGGTGCAACTAATGCATTGCCTCTTCTGGGCATGTGCTGGGCTAGGCACGGAGTGCGGCGATTTTAAAATATAGTGCTGGGTTTTTTTTTCCCCTCACATCTGCAAGCAGCCGCAAGAACAATATGTCTGCTACGCTTTTTCACATTTCATTCCCTTCTCCTTTCACTGCCTGCTACCTCTCTTATTCTGCATTAGGGAGAAAGCTCATGCAGACACATATGCACTCCTATTTGGCACCCATAGCTTCCAGTTTGTTCCCTTAAGTCATTGCTGCAGGCTGGAAGAGTAGCTGTGGCACTTAAATACAAATGAGGATGCCACTGACCATGATCCTAGTACTGTACCATGCCTAGCAGCAGAACCCCTAAGCATGCTGCATTGCTCTTCACAGGTTGTCTGCATGGAATTTGGGGTGGGCTAATTAGAAGTGCTGAATAAAAGGTCAATTAGTGCAGCTACACTGCTTCTTCTTCAGAAGGCAGGCATGTATGAGAGTGCTATGGCTGAGCATGGCAAGCTTCCCACAGAGATGTGGCCCAGTCTTCCCTTCTTCTCCCACAAAACAGTCTTTTAAAATCATGTGGGGACTTCATCACGAGGAAGCACCACCCCCTTCTTGTCCAGAAGAAGTCATGCTAGTTACAGCTATGTTTGCTCAGTTTAGCTCAGGGCACCACTGTTGTGGAGATCTTGAAAATTACAGAAAGTACTGCAAGCTCTTGTTGGGTATTGACACAAATCATACTTATCCCTGTGTCTCCTGCCCTCTGACTACTGCCTCAAAGGAAGAAAAAACCTGTTCTCCAGGTTGGTCTGTGATACCATAGCAGGCAGACGGTAAATTCCAGAGACAAGGATTCTCCATTCAAACCCCCTGATGCTCTTG